AAACCCAAAACAAACCAGAACAACAAAGAAAGTCATGTATCTCATTACTGCTAACGAAGTGATTCTGGAATGTGAAAAAAATCAGAAGAGAAAAAGAAACTGTGATAATAGGACTAGAGTTTAGCATTATTCAGCCCTGGTCCTAAATAATTCTTCCCTAACAGTAGTGACTTTCCTCTGTTTTCTTGGCAAGGACCTTGATGTCAGAATAAATGCTAATATGCAGGATGTCTCACAGTTGGGCATTAGAATCCCTTGCTGAAACACAGACTTCTTTCAGGATGTTGTACCAAGTTCTCATGCAGGGTATTTACATTCCCATAGCCACAGACCTTGCATGTGCAGTGGGCTGGACTCATGACCCTGTTATCACAGAGCAGGCATGATAAATCCACTTGCTACCCAGGTGCCGTCCAACTGCATGGTGGATATGTTTTAGGTCTGACTCGCAGTGCATCTGCATATGTCTCACAGCTGCTTTCCAGGTAACCGAAAAAATATTCGGCTGCATATGAGGTATGAAATAAATCATATCTGTTAGGCTTTTAATATAGAGCATATAATTTCAATATGTAGTAATGATAATCCTGTTTTATACAGGACATCCAACAGCCCAGCTCTCAGCTGTTAAATCTTGGAGAGACTCGTTCGAACTGTGGGTGAAAGGGATGAAATATATGGGCTTATGCCTTAAGATAACTTGGGCTGTTGCACCTCTTGTAAAAAGCTACAGCTGCTAAAGCAAAGGCTCGGAGTTCCTTTCCCACCCCCCAGTATTTTTGGCAGGTGGTTGAACATGAATACATGAATGGAGGTTTCCCTCAGAGGGAAATGTACTTGAGGCAGTTGCACAGCATGCTAAAAATGGCTGTCAAGAGAAACTTTCATAATGCACCAGATATTCTGTGAATACTACAAATAAAATCAGATTTTTAATCTGTAGACAATGAATGACCATAGTGATCCAGAACAAGTAAACCAAAAGCATTCAAAGATATTACTCAGAAGGACAAATGCATGCATGCATCTGGCCAGAAAGCCTTTTAAATTCATGGACAAATCAGCTACCTACTTGGTATGAACATAATTCTCCAGTAGTTTCTGGTAAGTTACAAAATTACCAACCTTCTGAGGCAGGTCGTTGGTTTTAGCATCCAGCCTACTTTTAAACACGCAGGAGCTACTTTTAATAGACATTTATTGTTGGATTCCGTATGAGATGGCAGTCTTATCTTCTGGTCTTTAAGTAGTTACTGATACTTTGGCAGATTCAGAATAAACTGTAAAAGGTGGGAAAAAACCTCTTAAAAGACACTGAATTACAATGTTTCATGTTCTTGTTCTAGAATTTAGGGTTGTCAGTCAATGACTTGGAAATCCAGGACCAAGCTACAAGCCCTTAATGTAATTTCTTTCCCATGTTGTATTTGCTTTGTTTTCTTTTGTTTTAATTATTATCTTTGGAAAATATGACATTCTCCCTTTCCTTTTGTGTAGCTGTTCAAAATCTTATTCTTAAAGCTCCATCTTTTGTTATTACCTACTGTTTCGTCTCTGCAGTACTGATTCACCCCCTATAGGAGTACATATCAAACCCCTTGTTTCTGTCATACAGACAAATCTCTTCCTTACTGGTATTTGTTTAATTTTGAGGCTTTCAGTATGTATTAAATAGTGTAGTCCCTTTATAGCACTGTGGTGCTTGATGTGCATGCTTTCTAGAGATTTTGCACAGCAGGCACAGTTCTTTCCAAAGAATTCTAAATATAGTAGGTTGCACTTCTAGCACTGTTATCTTTTAATTTCCTTTTGACTGAATTCGTGCTTTCCATCTTTCCTTTGGTTTCTCTCTTTAACCTTTTTTTTTTTTTTTTTTCCTGCCTCACAGTCCTCTTTAACGTTAACGTCTCCAAAGCATTGAACAGGACAAATACTAGCTAATCTAATCTCTCCGCCCTCCCTTCTGCTTTAACAAAGCTTTTAGATTCCTCAACTCCTTTGTTTTCTTTACCTTTCTTTCCCTTCCCCCTCCAAAAAATTCGGCACTCCTATTTAAAAGAATTGGTCAAGCTGCAGTAGGACATGTAATCATTGTGACTTAACAGAAAACATCTTCTGAACTATCAATATGTATCTGTGCATCGTTATACCAGACTTTTACTTCCTGTTGCAAAATACATGTATGGACAAGAAAATAAAGAGAAGGATATTTCAAGCGTTCTCTTTCTGATTGCTGACAGAATTCTTTTGTCTATTTTGGCAGGGTAGCCTAGTGGCTGAATGCAAATGCTATATTCTGTCTGACGTACTTTCTAGGTTTTTGTTCATGCTAGTGACTGAAGGTTTGTAAATTTTTCTTTTGAACTTGGGCCACCATTTCCTTAAATCTAGAGGAGAGGACCTTAGGCCTTCTCTAAGGCTGCTTCTGCTTCTATCTATTTGCTGCATGCTGATTCCCTCTGACAGGTCCAAGTGTGTCAGTTTGGCAGTGTTCCCAGTCACCATCAGCGTTACTGCATTCCCAGAGTCGGGTCTTGGTTAGCACAAAGCATTTGCAAATTCAGTGTATTAGTTTTCCTCCCTTCCTGTACTTAAAAGGGATTAGGATTTTTTTTTAATAGAATCATATTAGAGTAGAGCAGTCAATCAATGAGCATAAATGTTAATGGCTGACAATTCTCACATTCACTGTGTGGAGGAATCAAAATTTGTATGTTTGTGTGTTGCAGGGTGATATCTCTGAGTGGCTAGGCCTTTAGGTATACAATCAAAAAGAAACCTGTCATCAATGGTTTGAACTGTTAAAACTGATGCAAGTATGCACTTGAATGTCATGCATTTCCAGTGAGTTCTTGCTGCTGTAGTGGGCTGTACGATTCCCTTTATAGCAGCACTCTCTCTAGTTTCTGCTACATTCCTAAACCAGAAAAAACTGCCAGTGTAATCCACGAGCCTTCCTGCTCCCTGCCCTGAAAAATGTTGCCAAAGCTAAAAAGGGAAAATGCTTCCAGCAGGGACTCCAGAATTACTTATGAGATGAGAATTTGTACTCTGGGCTGTTAATCCGCTGTTGCAACCTAAAACAAAAGAACAACAACAAAAAAAAGTAAGAACAGCAATAGGATGGTTTGGCAGTTTTCCTGTGACAATGGTATCTCAAGAAATAATCTGAATGCAGTATGGGACAATGCAGAGTAGTTACTGAGTTGTATAGCTATGAGTCATGTCGGCTCTCAAGCAGAGAGGTTTGTGTGGTAAAGTAGTTATATCATGAAAGGTGCTGGTTGAAGCTAAGGGAGGGCATTAGTTTTAATTGTGGTGATTGTTTCTGGGATCATGAGCACTGAGTAAAGCCAGAGTGAAGTGCATATTCTGTTTGCAACTGGCCTTGATTTATGGGAGAGGGTTTTCTATAATCAGTTTTGCACAATCCTAGATCTTGCATGCTGTGTTGGAAGAATAGGGGTTTTTTTGCCTTGGTTATTTTTGCTCATTATTTAATAATTACTGGTTTAATATTAAACCTCTCCCTCTACAACTCCATTTGGTTGTTTGTTTTTTTTTAAAAAAATAAATTTGGTAATATGCAATATGCTTCAGAATCACCTTTTCATCTACATTTTCCATTGTAATTTGTTGATAGCTATAGAATGATAATACTGAGCTACCTAATACAGATGCAAAATTTTGAACAAAAATGTAAAGGCTTGTTGGGGCCTTTCTAAAGATTTGACCTTTAAAATCTCCATCTGAAGTTAACACTTCCTTCCTGGCACAGCGATAAATCCTCCCACTTTCACTGCACTGGGGAAGAGAACTGAATCACGTTTTTGAATCAAATGCTTGGGAATTGGCCCAAGACCAGACTGGTTGCTTACACGCTGTTTTCCCGTTTTGTTCCATTCGCAGAATTTTAATAGAAGATAAAAGGTAAAGCAAAAGCGTCTGAAAAGCTATGTTAATGTCTTTGTGAAAGCAGATGCAGAACTTGCCACATAGAGAAATCTACGTCTTTTTAGGGCCTGTGTTGTATCTTAAAAAGTACCAAGTCCTACAGGGTTAACAGGCAGGAAACTGCAGCTGCAGCCGGCTCATACGGAAGTCAGATTTTTGTGTAACAGACAGCCTGAGCAGGCCGAGAGGTGGGGGCCGGGGGGGAATTGGAGAGTACAGTATCTGGTGTGATAGTGATATTTTTGGTTATGCTCTGCAGCGTTTTTATACTCAGGGAGGGCAGGCACTGAATGGCAGCAACCCTCTGTGATAATGCAGTTTCAATCGTATAACAGTTTTTGTGGAAACGAGACATGAAGTTTTTCCTATTTAAGGCTCGGCTTATCAGTTATCTAAAGAAATCACACTGTCGGTATGGGGTTGCTACGGTAGGTGTTAATATATTTACATTCTGGAAAGGGAGAATTCTCAGTGATTAATTTCAGTCCCTCCTGTGCATGTACACTTTCGGTATGTTTTGCTCTCTTTCTGTGGCCTTGCTTTCTCCGTGCAACACACTGCAGAACAGCAGCAAAGTGAATTTAGCTTTTTGTTTATAAAGAACAGCTTTTGTGACCTGGGTGCACTCTTCCTCCCTCAGGTTTAAAATATCCAAGTGCCTTCAGTCATGGCCTGTGGAGACACATTTGCTCAGGCAGCCAGGTTGCGATCACTTCCCTCTGCTTGAAAATCTGCGTGTTTCCCAGGGGGAGCGCACATTTGGGGTTTCTTTCCGAGTTTCTTCTGCTGAAACGGGCCTAGCTTAGCCTGTCTTCTCTACGCACAGGATGGCTCCTGCTTGCCAGAGCTGCACAAAGATAATCGCTCAGGAAGTGTTTCAGCCAATCCCCTGAAGCTTTACATTCAGATTTACCAGAGCAGCCAATCCGGGATTAGCTTTTATTAGGAAGACAGATCATCAAGCTGAAGTGCCAAGCCCTTTCTGCCTGAGTACTGAGAGCCTGTCCTCCATGTTTTATAAGTATTGACATAACACTGTGTTAACAATGCATCCACAGAGGTAAGCCTTACTTTTTACATTTTTTTTTCTCTAAGACCTATGAGTTGTGGGTTGAGAGTGTGATTCTCTGTGATTTGTTGTGCAAAACTCACACCACAGCACTTTATTAAGTTGGAACTGTTTAAATTTGCTTTCTTGGGTCACATGGTTAGTAGCCATTAGCCACAGCTTTATTTTGCAGACTGGCAAAACCTTGGCATACCTACTTCTTCACAGGAGGATGGTGTTCTTAGAGTTTATCAAGATCCTGGTATTCCAAAGAAGCTTTCTCTCTCTGAGCAGTTTGCCAGCACTATTGTCTGTTGTGTCACATGCCTGCTGAAGAGAAAATGGAAGCTAGGGAGCAGATGCATTTAACTGCCCTACAGGGAGTCAAGCAGGGATAATGGCAGACAGAAGAACAGGCAAGTTTACCTTTCTAAACAGTGAATGGAATAGCTAAGATAACTTCTCTCCGAGAAAATATGGGATTTTTAAAAACCTAGACATCAGCAAAAAGTGCTAATGGCAGATTGTAGATATTGGGCCTAGGTGGTGGTGTGCTGTTGCATCATGTTTTTTATGCAGTTTATCTTAAATGAAAAGAATTATTGAACCTTTTTTCTTGTAGGAGTAATTAATACAACGTGTTTCTCTCTCTGAGGGACAATGTATGGTTAATATTTTGTTCATTTAAAAGGGAGTTTTTATGCTGCAGATTTTGGAAATGGGTTGCTGCTCAATAAATGCAGCAGTACATCTGTTTACAAATCTGATTCTTTATGGAAAATGTTTTTGAACTGTTAGCTTTCTTGTTTTACATAGTTCAAATAAACTAATGTACCTTTTATCTGTGCCTTTTTGTTTTGCACTGTGTCAGCCACAGTTCTGTGTTGTGGAGTCCAGAGGATATAAAATCATGTGTGGTTCATGACAGTAGTACATGTTGTTCGTTCTTGGTTTTTTCCTTTTTTTTTTTTTTTTTTTAAACTTTTGGTTTGATGCTACGTAATTATTTCAAGAAATTCCTTTTTGATCAATTTCCAAATCTGCCAGCCTGTTGTATCTTCTTAACTGGAAAAATGAGATGGGTGCTTGAACAGTTGGTAAGTAAGCAGCATGCTACTCTCTGAACATTTTTAATAGTTTTCCAAACATTTTGTTTTTACTGGGTCAGTTAGTCCAGTAGATGAAGTAATGCTAGTGGTAGTCATATAAAAAATGAGATTTGCTTAGCGTCCATTTTAAGGGACTTGTACATGTAAACTGTTCCAATCTGAATGCACTATTTTTTTTTTTGATAATTTGCCTCTAAAGTTTGAAGCTTATACTTCCTGTTTACCTCAGGCCAGTGAAAAATATTCTGCTTGGTGTTTGTTCATAGATGATTAATTACCATGTTTGTAGGGTACAGTGCATTTTTGTTGTTCCTTAGGCTTTTGAGGTGTGATGAAAGTGCTAGTACTCAGCAGTGAAGTGACCTTATGAAGTAAAGTAAATAATCCTTAATGAGCATATGCTTCTGATACTATACAAAGTATAATCTCAGACAAACTTGCTGGGTTTATAACCAATTTAGAACATTGTGTCCCCCTTATTAAGATTTTAATTGTAGTGCTTGCATGCTTGTTTTAACAAGCTGTTTTCCAGTGATCACCAGTATTGTTACAAAAGCAGAGGAAGGATGCTTTTTTGTGCTTTTAATATAATTTTTGCACCTGTTTTAACAGTCCGCACTCATGATTTTAGGAAAGGACTTAGAGCTAAGCTAGCTTTGCAAATGACTGCACCGAGGCAGTTACTCGCTAACTTTTATAGAAGGTTGCCATGTAACATGGCAATTTACCTCTGGTTACTTGTTAGCCAATATGAGTATCTTACTTTGAAGGTCTCACTTGGCTTAATAGCCCGCCACCCCCCCACCCCCCGATTAGATTGTGGGAATGTCTAGTTCAGTTTGTTTGTAACTTGAAACACTGCTGGGTTGTATCACCAAGTTTCATGTGATAGCACTTTTGTATACAATTTTAATGCGTTTTTCAGCATATGTAAAAGTGCTAACACAGCTAAGAAGTTATTCTGGTTTCTGTTCTTCAGTTGCTAAAAACAGAAATTACATTTGGACATAATTTTCGTAGCAGTAGTTTATACACATTAACAGTTTACTTTCAGTCTTAAATAGTGCACAACATAATATTTGTTTAATATGAGGAAGCAGGAGTAAGTGATCTGCAATCAGAAAGCTTGTATTAAAATGGCTCCCACAGGTTTTGTTAAACTAGGATCTGTTTCAAATCTGCACCTCCAGACATACTGCTGACAGTGAAGCATATTTGTATAAACTGCCCTTGTGCATGTAATGAAACATAGCATCGTGAGTCTGTTAAAGTTCACTATTTTTAATCACTCAAATATAATTCCTTTATAGTTCACAAAAAATAAATGTCTGCATTGCAGCAAGATGTCTGAGGCAAGGTAGAGACAGCAGGGTTGTTTTACAGATCAGCCCAATCGCACTGCTCCATGGACTACTTGAGCCAATAGAAGCAGAGGGTAGGTTAAAGATTGACAATTGCAGTGGCAAGACTGAGAAAGGCCTTCTGGAAATTTCTACCATCTTTGTTCCATCTAAGTAAAGCAAATTCAGCCAAGCTGAAGAATTTCATATATTTTTGGTGCTTTGTCAAGGTATGATGTTATCACTCACTTTCATAGATTGCATAATGAGAAGCACTCTGTGCTGTTTTTTCTACTGTTCGGGGCAGATGGAATGTGGGGTTTGTTTAAGTGATAGACACAGGGAAAAAGCACGTATTCTTTCTACCCAAGATTTTAATAGGACTGAATCTTGTTAATATCACAATTAGACAGGACCTGTATGAAGCAACATAGCTGAGGTTTATTCAGCTTGTAGCGAATGGCCATTATTCTAATGTAACTAGCAGTTAATCGTATAATTGCACTTTAAGTTTTCTGGCTACTAAAGAGTAACTTGAATTGCCCAGGATGAATATGATTAGCCATTATTATTTAGTGCCAACATCCAGTTACTTTTGCAATTAGCTGGACAAAGAATGCAGTGGGGGTAAAACAAAGGAGTGATCTGGATTATAAATTATGATGAAAACAGTAGCTTTTTAAAAGCTACATCGCTCTCACATTCTTTGCAGGCAAACTGTTTGAGTTGGAAGTGAAATAGTGCAAGGGAAAAACCAAGTGATTTTTTTAAACTTAACATACTGGGAATGAAATAAAATGCAAAGTATAAACCATTCCAAATCTGACATTCCCTCCACACTCACATCAGGCAGGAGTATTGAAATGTAGGGGAAAACCTACATTGTTGCTAAGGAAGCATGTAATAAAAGGAGCTTCATGCTCAAAAATCATAAATAGGTAGATTACATTACAAACTTCGCCCTTTTATATCAGTGTCCACAAACTTCAATTGGCTCGTCTTCCTGAGCTGTCTTCCATTTTGTGATGTCACTTCAGCTTGTTGGTCGTGTGTCCGTCCCCCCCCCCCTTTTTATTAGGCTTTGTTTTCAAGTGCATTGGCCATGTGGATCCAGTAGCTGAAAAGTGATAGGTCATGGTCAGCTTTACATAGTAATGGTGCCACTCCAGCATAATTGGTTAAAGGGTGATAAATCTTAGTAAAGGCTCTCCTCTTCTCTGTCTGGAATTCAGGATGTTAATTTGAATCTCCTAAATATCTTGGAAGTTGAGCATAACCTTTGTCCATGTAGAATGTATGTAATTTTTCAAATTGTATTATTTGTGGGTCCTTAATATTTTTCCCATGAGCACGTGAATCCTGTTATAGTGAATGTGAGCCTGTTAGACTAGGTTTGATTTACTTACTTATTGTCTGCAAACCCCTTAGTAGTTGTACACTGGCTTTGAGAGGTCTGCAAACCAGAGACTGAAAGCTGTTGTAGTAGGCCATCAAGTTTGGCCCTTTAAATTATAAGTAGAATGTGAATTTATTTATTAATAAACATGTCTTGAATTCATGGGTTAAAGTCTAATTTAGAAATAGCTACGTAGGAATGGAGTTTTATTTATTTGATAGAAGTTGTATGCCATTATTTTGTTAACCCTTTATTGCCAGTTGTCACAGCATCTGCTTCACACCGTGAGATTAAAACCGTGCCGTAGCAGGATGTTAATTAACATCCTTAATTTAGCCAGTATAAGCCTTTGCTTTCAAACATGACCGTTCTCAAATTATTTTTTTAGCATCTGAAATCTATAGCTATTCTTGTTGCCTTGCTTGGGCCTCAGCTTTATAGTTCATAGTCTTAAAGAAGATGGTATGACATCAAGGATCTGCCTCCTTCACCTGATTTTTCTCTTTTGTGGACCTGTTTTGAATGCACACTGAATAAGAATAAGGTTTTAGAAAGAACATAAATGTTCTTTAAATTAAATGTATATATATTTACCTTGCTTGTTATCAGAGGTAACTAGCTTAAATATTGCTGTATGTAGATATCTGAACAAGTGTTTTGTGTATGTTAATTGTTTAATACAAATTGGGCATTTTGCAGCGAATTCTGCAAAAGGAAACGTAAAATATGAGGTGTTCAAACTGGAGAGGGAATCTAAAATTGAGTGATTTCCTTAGTAACCTGTGACCACAAAACTCCCTATCTTGTGCATTTTTAGTTAAACATTTGGATGTCAGATGTCCTTTTGTCATACTTTACCATTTCTGGTATTTAGGTGCTTGCTTCGAATATAGCACTGCTGTTTAAACAAGAGATACTGTTATTGAATAAACTGCTACCATTTTAGCTACAGTACAGGAATGAGGCAGTGCAGTGCTGTCAGACGCCATTTTAAGAATCCTGCATAAATAGCATAGCTACCGATGAGTAAGAGACTGTTATAGGTGAGTGCTTATACAAAGCTGCTATTTATTCAGCAATGGCATGCAAATATTTTTTTCAAATTTTTATTGAATGCAGTTTTTTGAAATCATTATTTAGAATTGCTACTCAACAAATGTGATATAGGAGAGGCAGGAATTCTCTTAAGGATTTGATTCAGTTTTAGTGCTTATAGTCTTAAATCAGGGGTTTTTTGTTTGTTTGTTTTGTTTTCTATTAATTAAAAGGAAAAATGAATTCCATAAATATATGGTTCTTGATTTTTAAATCAATGTGTTTATTCCCTAATGTAAATCTAGATTGTGTATGTGGGCATTAGCTGTTTCGAGTGGTTTTCCATATCTATCAGTTTTTCTTGGTTAAATGTCAAGGTGCAGTAGTTCATCTGCAACTTTTAATTGCTCTTTGTAGTTAATAAAGGTTAGAGCAGCTTTTAAATATTTTTGTATATGTACATTTTTTTCAGGTAAGCACTGCTGCTACTACAGGAATGATTTTCCTAAACAGAAAAGTCAGTATTTTATTTACTGGTCTGAAATTTGAAAAACTGAATTTCATATTTAAAAAAAACCCACCCTCTCTTCAGTTTACTAGAGAACATATTTAAAAATTAGACAGCTAAGTTCTTTTTGCATTTTTACCTAAGTATCAATAAATCTTGTATGCTTGCAATCCTCATTTTTTTTTCTTTCTGTCCACAACTATCCCCAAAGGAATAACCTCCACCCATTCTCCCATCATTCAGACATGTTAAAATAATTTGTATGAAACAAATTAGTTTAACATCTTAAAAACCAATTTCTTCTCTCTCTCTCTCTCTCCTTTTTTTTTTTTAAGTTTTGTCAATACAAGTAGGGAAGTTTTAAATGATTAATTGGTGTGCTAGTCAATTGACAGTGAAACTGGCAAAGCTTAAATTTCAGTTGTGTTCTTAAAATACATTCCTCTGTGTTTGTTCATCTTAATGAGGAGATAAGAGTAGCTTTCAGAATGACATAAGGTATTTATTGTGTTCGCCTAGGTACTTAATTGAGAATATACCGGTATCATTTCTGATCTGCACCTCAGAGCATCACATTCATAGTACACATGCATGACAGTAATGCATGCTATCTGAAACAACAGCTCTCAGCCCTGCAAAAATGAATTCTCAAAATAAAACTCTCTAGAATAGTCTGCTTGATCACACAGTTATTGTTTCCATAGAACTAGGTGCTTGCTTATGATTATTTTGCTGCTGGCTTCAATTTTCTTTTTATTTTGTTGTGGATGATAGTAAGGTACACGTCATTAAGGACCTGTCTTTCTTGAATTATTTAATTTGAAATCTTTTGCTAATGAAACTTCTGCATTTGGAAGTTGTGCTTTATGAAGCATTTTCAGAATGTTGCCTGTATTGATGCAAGGTGCAAAGGTGAAAAGATCTGTTAGCTTTAGAAAAGTTACTGTAAACTTGCTGTGAATTGCTAGCATGTATTTACAAACTTGAGTCTTAAAGATTACCACTACAATCATCACTGCCACCATTCAAACAATGTCATGTTGTGCAAGTCATAATACATTACAGCAAATAAAACAATGGGAGATTCTTCTGAAGAGCTGTGAATTTTTTTTATAGCTATGTCTAATAAGCTTATTTAACTGTTCCCCCCAACATTTTGATTTTTTTTCAGAACAGTCTCAGTGATTTTCTTACATACTTAAATGTTTGTGCCCTTAAAATATTGAGTGAGGTTAATTATAGTAGAGAATATGGAGCTGCAATCTGTTCCTCTAAGGCTCAGTTTTCCTATCTGGTAGGTAATTGCTGAATTTTGTTTTAGTTGTGGGTGACACACAGTGTGCATATGTGTGTATAGGATATTATGCACCTCCATTGCTAACAAAAATGAAGAACCTTTGTGTCAAGTGGTGCTTGCATTTTGGACTGTTCATTTATACTTCAAATCTTTGGGAAAACAGTCTTCAGACATCTTTTATGCTATATATCAGAGATGTGTCACGTCAAGATACTTTGTTCATCTTTGAACTGCTTATGAAAAGTGTTTTTCTTATCTCCATAGTTCTGTTGAAAGAACACTCAAAAAGGTGATGGAGGAAACTGGCTGCATTTCCTAAATTAAGCTCATTAGATGAGGTGAGACAGATTTAGAGCTGAAGAAACCTCACATGCTGTAACTAATATGTAGGAGTCCTGACCTGTAACACTCCTGCAGTGCTTGGAGTGGGCCCACAGGTTCAGGGCACCTTCAGTCAGCCCTGTAACTTCCCCTGCTACTTTGGGCAGGGATGTGGGAACAGTTCCTGCTACTGTGCTGCTGTATTGACCTGTCAGACCCATTTCTGAGCCAGGGTTCATGCACAACTCTGTGTCTTTGAGTACTGACTTGTAGCAGCTGCTGTGTCTTGTTGTATCATGTTCCCCTGAGGAGTTCTGATTTGAACAAAATGCATCTGATAGATTTGGTTGAGTCTGGAATATTATAATCACTTTAATGTAACTTAAATGAGAGCTGCTGCTAAAAGGATATTACCGTTTTTCCCCCCTTCCCCGCATGTGGTACACTCCCATTTCCTCTTTTCTGCACATCCAGCTGCACAGTGAGCTAGATCTGATTCAGAACTGATTTAGTTAAAATGAGCATGATTTCTGGAACATGAAGTTAGGGATTGGGGAAACCATTCCTTTTGGTAGCAACCTGTGTAAAATGATCATAACACTTCCAGCTGAGTCTCGTAAAGACTTGTATGTCCTAGTCTGTGGCTGAAACTGGATCTATATTTTAAAACCAAGTAATGTGCACTGCCGAATTACTTCACTCTTGACAGAACTAATGTGTATTATTACATATTTGCCTGTGTGCATTATAATCATATATATATATGATGTTTTAAAAATACGGGTTTTGTTACAGTTTGGTGATATTGAAATAGGATTTTGTAAGGGGGGGAGGGGAAGAAAAAAACAATGCAACATTGGAAGAGAACAATGAACCCATCCTGTGAGCCCATCCCTTCCCATTGCTTAGGGAAGAGAATGGGCAGAGGCAAGTGGTGCATGAAATGTTTTGGTGTCTGCAGCACACTGCCAGCTCCTCTTTGCTGGAGGCCCTCTGGGAAAGGGTGTAACAAATGTGCAGTATAATTGATCTGCCCATGCATAGTAAATTGCTGAGCATTGTAGTACGGTCAACTATGTTGTGCATTTAATCCACCCATGCAAAATAAATCTGAGAAGTACTGTGCTGTGGTCAACTGTGCCTACACATTTACCATAATTCTGGTCACATGTGTACCTTTCCCTGCTACTGCAATTAACAGCATAGTCCATGAGCTCGGTGACTGGATGGTGGTAGAATACAATTTCTCTTCAGTGTTTAATGACTTTAAAGAGCTTAACTTGTAAATTATTGCTATATACAAATGACAAGTAGAGCAAATGATTTCTGAGGTTTATGGATCTTTTCAGCTTTGGGTCTTCCATACATTGAGCTTGGTTAATTTGTATTTAAAATTTTTGCTGACACAGCTGTCCTGTTTAGAAGTGTGAAAAGAATTGCAACCCAACCCCCCAGTAGCTGGTAGTTGATTAAAAGTAGTTTTGGCAAATGCTAGACTTAAGAAGTCCTTCTGCTGGTAGGTTTTACATTGTTTAGCAAGCTGTTTTAACTTATACCAGTAACAAAACTCCCGCTAATATAAACTGTTTGTCAGGCTGAAGAGTTTCTCTGATATAAATGTAACCAAGTCCTTAGTGTTACTTCCGAGCTCTCATTAGCTGTCTCTGGGAGATTCAACCACAGCAGCTAAAGCAAAGGTCTCTAGCTGTACTCTTGGCCTCTCCAGTAGAAATAGCTGTCCCCAGAGCTGGGACGGCTGAATGGAATCTCAGTCGACTCCGTAGAAACAGTAGTTCACGGTCTGCCATATCAGTGTAAACTGGTATCAGCAACAACTTAGTTTAACAGACTAGACAGTAAATTGTCACTACAGAGGAAAAGATTACATCCCGCTTGGCTGTTGTGCTCTGGTGATATTAATGGACAACAGTGATACCTGCTGCAGGCACCATAACCTCATTTGTCTATTGTTTTGAATTTGGGCTTGCTTCAATATAATTTGTTTTCTTTTATCTTTCATCTATGATAGTCGGATCTCCAAAACTGGTGTGTAACTCAATGTTCATTCTAGTTCTTTTTTCATCTACTTTCCACCTTCCTTCCCCAAACTGACTTAACTAGCCAAATTCATTGAGTTATTTTCTTGAATAGCATCACTGTAAGAATGTGGAATATCAGCAAGTCAGATATAGTTTGTCATCTACTTAATCATTTAATCCTGCCTGGAGTAAACTAAAATGGTCTATGTAAGATTGAATAGTTGAATAATAGTAACAACTCTGTTCCGTTTACTCTTTGTTATAGTTAATAGTTGGTGGAATTGTATTGCCAATAAATTATAAATGTTCAGTTTTCTGTTATATAGTCTTGTTTCAAAATCCTAGGGATTATTTATTTAATAGTTTTTAAAATTGCATTTTACCTTCTGATTTTGCAAGTTGTTCTGTGTTAAGTCTGTTACTTCAGCTAATCTGCTCGCTGATGCTGGGGAGTGTTTAAATGTTAGCAGGCATCTGTCCACACAGTAAGAGGCCTTAGATTAGGGAGCTACAAGGACAGAATTCCTGTTTATATGTCACATGAACTTTATACATACAGTGACATAATCTTCAGTGCCTGTTACAAGACTATCATTAGCATGAAAATGTTACCTTTGTAATTCGTAATATGCAGCATAGATGTGTACCTGGATTGTTTCTCTACATGTTTTGGTCAATGTATACTCTGGCAAACAGCAGACCTTTCCTTTCATCAGAAATTTTAATGTAGTTGTATTTGACAGTGTTATGTTGAACTTCTATACGTGAAGTTAGACATGGGAATAATACAATCTATAACTATTCTAATTCACCTTTTTGAATCCTGCAGCTTGGCTGAAGAGGAAATAAAGGCAGAGCAGGAGGTGGTGGAGGGGATGGATATCTCCACTCGATCCAAAGGTGAGTAAGAAGGAACACTTCATTGATGTTCTACAACATACAAATATTTGTTAATCAGGATAATGAAACTGTGTAATCTACCATGAAGTTGCTCTTGAGGGAAGACTCAAGACTCAATTGTATTTTTTTCAATGACTATTGTATGCTATCACGTATTTTAATTTTTGCTTGGTTTTCATTGTATGTCAAACTTCCCACCCCCTGCCCTCCACCCCTTGTTATTTCTGGTTTATGAAGATTTATAAGATTAAATTGTGGAAAAAAAAGTCAGTCTCTTGTATCATCTCATTTATCATGGCTTCCTTTAAGAACTTTTAGATTTGCAGTGTAGGAGAAAATAGTAGTAGTAGTAATAATAATAAGGTAGTATTTTCTACAGTAACGGGTCCTAATTTTCCTAAGAATAAAGAACAGCAACATTTCTGTTTCCACAAAAAATGGTCACTGGAGCAGTATGTATTTCATGGACATTTACCTATCCATTCCTGACATGAGTTAAACTTGGTGGTGGAATTGCAGGTGACTAAGGATTTCTGTCCTTCTAGTTTCTGGAGTTTTCCCTATGATTTAGTTACTACAGGCAAATGATGTTATCTCTCACGACAAAGAAAGCCAAATATGTAAGCACCTATATCAGTGTAAATATTCCCACTGTCATTTGGAGGGGGGGGACAGAAATGCCCTTCAATCAGATACTTGCACGTCATTGTTTACTCCAGTTCATTGTCGTTGACTGCCAGCTGCCTGTCCATCTCCTTTTGTACTTGCAGCTGATTTTGCAGCTCAGTTTACTTGCTGCCATTTACAGAAATGGCTTTCAATAGTTGCTACCATTGTTTTTAAATTCTGGCACATACCCACTTCACATTTCTGCTACTGGGGTCGTAAGTCTAGTTAACTCTGAATGTGAGGATTTAACTGTCTTGAAAGCGTGGCACAGATCATCTGCATTCCTTTGGTTTTTAGTGTAGCTTGGGTAGATAACATTGTTATCTTTTATAACATGGTTATAAAATTGCAGTTAGGTTTTGTTTGTACTGACAGACAGTAAATTTCTTGTTTCAGTTCTCATGGTACGGTTAGATGAGGTAGTACATATGATCTGACAGCTCAGAAGAGATTCACTTGTTCCTTTTGCTCCTTCCTGTCCTTTTCTCCCTTCTCTGCTTCTGGTCTTTGCATGTCAGTCTTTGTCACTGAACTGCTTTCCATGTTTACTTATCTCTGTATTTCAGTTTTCTAAGCGAGCAGAAAGTAAACTCTTTTTTTTCTTGCTTTAGTGATTGCTGTTGAATGGGATAAGCTCCCATCTTTGTACTTCCACTGCTCACTTCCTTCATGGTGCTTGCTGGATGGCAGTCACTTGAACTCTCTAACCAACTTAAAACTGAACATTTTTCTACTGTTGTAGTGAACAGTTTGTGAAAGAGTTCGGCGAGTATGAGAACTTGATATAAGAAACAAGAGGGGTTATTAGATGCATTTAGCTCACCTTCGTTTCTCCTTAGAAAGGCTTTGGCCCACATATTAGTACTAAAGTAATTTCACATGTGTCAAGTGAGGCAAACTATTACTTATGTCACTCTGACATACACGATGTCTAAAAGTCATTTATGAGTCTGTTACCTATTTCTGTAGATGTCTGCATTTTAATTCTGTTGCTTTACTTGGCCCGGAAACAGGTACATGGTCCACACAAAAAGTTGCAGTTCCCTTATGTTAGTTCTAGGGCTGGTCTGACATCAAGCTTTACCGTTTCAATGAATTAAGCCCATAGGAAACTTTTAACTTTTTTTTTTTTTAGGGTTAAAATGAAGTTTCCCAGGACAGTGAGCTGATTTAATACCTCCTGGTTATTGAAAGGGTCGGTCTTTCATCTCCCAGCCTTCCCAGCTGTGTGATTTTGCAGCTCCCCTGGCTTTGTGGGCTCTGATCAATTCAAATTTGTCAATTCAAAGGGAGTTAACCTCACAGAAAAAGACTCATGTTTTTATACTGAGTGAGTTTACTGTTGCTACAACTCCCTGGACTAACTCATAGGCAAGCTCTGATAGTGATTGAAAGGAAAGTGGTTTGGAAGACAAAGATGGGATCACCGCAGTGGTAGTTTAGACTGGCCCAAGCTGTCATTGTGTGGAAGCCACTGGTCTGTAGAGAGTAGGACTCTTAGTGTTTTAAAGACCAGTGAGAGTGACCTGAATGGTCTTTGTATATCATCATAGTAAAGATAAAGATGAACAGAGGTTGAATTAACTGGATAATAATAATAGAACTGTTATTTATTTAACTAGATACTGATTTGCTTTAATTGGTTCGTTGAGTTTGAAATGTGTGTTGAAACAACCCATGCCACCACTGTTCTAAGGGCAAAAGTAACAGCTACCCACCCCAAGCCCTTACAGATATATATAATTTTTTTTTCAGTGAAGAAGTGATGTGGGTTTTAAAGAAATCTTGAGACTTGCCTGTAAGCCATCTTTCTTTGTTCCCAACCTAATCTATGAATTAGTGGTAGGACTTTGTAATAGTTTAATATGTAGTTTTGCATAGAAAGTAAAAGGATCATAAATGTCATTTGCGAAGAGCTGGCCATATTATAGGCCTGATAAAAATGAATCTTTCTGGACTAATGTTATCTGGGTTGAGACAAGTTTCTCTGTTCAGTGCAGTGTTTCTGCAGCAGAGGAGTCACAAACCGGAACTTTAAAACTGTTGTTATATTCTGTGTAAGGCAGAAAAGTACAGCAGGGTTCTAAACTGGTGAGACAGTGGTAAAAATGTTTCCTCTTGTATAGAATCATAGAATAGAATCATAGAATGCATTGGGCTGGAAAGGACCCCCAGAGGTCATCTAGTCCAACCCCCCTGCAGTGAGCAGGAACATCTTTAGCCAGATCAGGTTGCCCAGAGCCCCATCAAGCCTGATCTTGAATTGTCTCCAGTGATGGGACCTCCACCCTCTCTCTGGGCAAACTGTTCCAGTGCTTTACCACCCTTATGGTAAAGAACTTCTTCCTAATATCCAATCTAAATCTACCTGTTTGTAGTTTAAAACCATTGTTCCTTGTCCTATTGCTATGTGTCCTTGTAAACAGTCCCTCCCCACCTTTCCTGTAGGCCCCCTCAGGTACTGGTAGGCCTCAATAAGGTCTCCCCGGAGCCTTCTCTTCTCCAGGCTGAACAACCCCAACTCTTTCAGCCTGTCCTCACAGGGGAGGTGCTCCAGCCCCCTGATAATGTTTGTGGCCTTCTCTGGACCTGCTCCAACAGGTCCATGTCCTTCTTGTATTGAGGGCTCCAGAGCTGGATGTAGCACTGCAGGTGAGGTCTCACCAGTGCAGAGTAGAGGGGGAGAATCACCTCTCTTGATCTGCTGGCCATCGTTCTCGTGATACAGCCCAGGATGCGATTGGCCTTCTGGGCTGCAAGCGTGCATTGTTGGCTCATATCCAGTTTTCCATCCAGCAGTACCCCCAAGTCCTTCTGGCAAGGCTGCTCTCTATCACATCATCCCCCAGCTTGTATTGATTACAAGGATTGCCCCAGCCCAGGTGCAGGACCTTGCACTTGGCAAGGTAACATTAATCTTGTTCAGAATTTTGCTTTGTGTGTTTTAGAAAGGATGTAGATGAGGAAGTTGACCCTATATAGAGAAACCCTTAAGGGAAACATACAGCTCTTCTTGGTTTGTTTGGGTTTTTTGACGGTCTGAGAAGCCTGTGGGGGAGTTGAATCACAGTGGTATTGTATAACTTTAGACTTGTCCTGGAGAAGCTAATACGTGCTAGTTTGTAATCTAACTCAGCTGCAGTTGGTACAGCTTGTGTGAGGCCATGTCTAAAGAAAGTTGTAGGAAAATAAATTAAATTGCTATAAAACCAATTAGCCTCATGCAGATCTCTTTGTGAACTTTTGTTTTGGTGTAAGCATTTAAATTTTAATTGCTAGAAATCAATTTCAGTTCGGTTTAAGCTAAAATGAAACATGCATTGTTTAATCTGGATTGGTTTAAGGTGATGGTTTCAGCTGGTCAAACTGCTCGATGCAGCACTTTTATCTATTTCCTTCCATTCCGAAGCTTGCAGGAAACTAACTGAACCATAAAACATGAATAGTTTTCTACTAGCTTAGCGTGCTGAAATGGCTTGGTAGGCTGCCAGAATTGGTGTAAAAGAGAGGGCAGGGATATACCAGTTGGGTGCAGGAAGTATTTGTAAGCAAGCATTTAGATAGGGTTAGGTTGTAATGAATCTAGAGCTTAAAACCATAGCTGAAACTTCTTGCCTACGCTTTATAATGTGATATGTGAGTCTATAGCTGTGGTCAGAGCTATGCAGCCCTCCATGTTCATCTTCAGTTGCATTTTTCTACACTTCTCCTTAGGCTGGCACTGGTGCTTATGCTGTTGCATAGTAAGCTGTATCAAGCAGCTGATGTAGCAGAAAATCGATCATTTTTTGCAGTATTAGTTTTTGCCTGAATCATGAACTGATTTAACCCTACTATTACACACAAGTGCTTGTCTGCAAAAACTTGTGGGGACAGACATCTGGTGAGGTGGGAAAGGGAAGAGGAGTAGTTACTGTAGCAGTTATAATTGAGATCTACTTATAAGCTGTGCATGTGCAGCTTTACTAAAGACAAGGTTTCACAATACACTACTAGCTTGATCAGAACAAGAAGGCATAAGGCATCTAAGAACTGCAAGTGGGAAACAGCAGCTTAAAGAGAGCACAAAGAGTCCAAAATCATAAAATGGAGTCAACAGAGGATTGCTGTTTAGCAAAGGAGAAAGGCCATGAATTAGATTATTATAATATTTTGTTCCCTGCATATGATACATTAACATGTCTAACAGAAACATCTTGTTATATTTCTGTTCCAGCCCTATGGCCTACCTTTAAACTTCTTTATTAAATATTTCAAGATTGGGCTTGCAAGGCTTTCTGGAGAATTTTCTGAGTGTTCCCATGTTGTGGTTCCAGAGCAGGACAACAAACTTAATTGTTTGGTGCAATTCTGTCTTCACTTGCACTTGTTCTCTTTGGACAGCAATGAACTCTCCACTGGGCTTTTTCATCCTATTAACCTGGAGGAATTTTTTTTTTCTTTAATTTTTGGGTTATTTTTCTGCTAGTTCATCTTACTTACCTGCCAACAATAGCTAGCTGTGGTGGCAGATGGACTCCCGTGGAGGGGTCATATGTTCCAGCTAGTACCATAACCATTGCCTGTTTAGTCATTAGTCAAAAGGAGCTCTTTAACTTTCTTCTTCCCATCATCAGTCATAATCCCCTATATTGCCTTTACAGCTATGCTGGCTCTTAGCCAGTCCTCTTCTGAGTCAGTTAAGTTTGGGTATGGAGTAGCTTTCTACCTGCTTGTTTCCCTGAACCAGATTACTAGGGAGTTAAACCCGTCATTGCTAGGAGCAGACTTGCCCCCGTCAGTGACAGCTAGCCATTAGCTTGTCATAAAATCATATACTGAGACACTACTGCTTCATGGTGAGAATTCTGACTTTTTACAGCTTTTGCATTGCTGCAGATTTGTGTTAAAGGCTTTGTCTTAGAGTTCCTCTCAGTGGTAAAAGGTTTGGATATTATGAATATAAATGCAAAATGACTAGTAAAGTGTAATTTCCACAATACATTATGTATTTTGTATCACTTTATAATAGTACATTGTGTACCAACTTTCTTTACAGTGATACCAAGTATTTAATCACATAGAGATGAGATTCTCACTCCAATGTGAGACCTAATTTGAGAATCCTCCAGTGAATAGTGGTGCAGCCCGAGGCTTTTATCTCTAGTGCAGAGCCCTTGTTACTCTAGTAATCAACAGGGGGTCTTCAGGAGTGCCTTGGGGCAGCAAGTCCCCCTACAGCAAGGCTCTAGCTTATAAATAGCTTAAATCTCTTGTATTGCAAGTTGGTGGGAAGTGTTTCTTTTTATCTTCCAAAGTCCTATGACGAAGAAACAAGTAGCAATGTCTTCTGTACTTGTATAAAATTGAAATTTAGTAGTTCATCAGGATTTACACCACCGTAACTAACCTCTGTTATTTGTTACATTAAGCAACTGCTTAATGAGTTAATTGCATCAGCTGAAGTTTCTGGAATGAAAACAGGGCTTTAATGGTTGATTGCAACTGCATCATATATTCTGAGGCATTTTAATCTTGAATTTTGATATAAATTCTAACAGATTTATCCATGATTTTATTAAGGGTTTTTAAGATAATTAAGCTTGTATCAGTATTATAGGAAATGGATTTGAAAAATCATAAATCTATTAGCAACCACTCAGGATAATGTACGTAACTGTGAGACTTCACAGGTCTGGAATCCACATAAGTTATTAATTGAAGCCTGTTCTGTCAGGTCTTACTGAGGTCTTACTGGTAGAGAAACTGTGCAAGTGTAACAGATGCTTAGAAAAACATATGTAGACACCATTTCCTTTTGGTTTTAGTCTGGAATTACTTTGATTGCATTTAGCTTAAACAAGTTTTTAAATTAAAATCAAAAAAAGTTTTATGGAAAGGAGGACATAAGGGAGTGTGAAGTGTCACTGTCAGTAAGTCTTTGGTACTGAGGTTTATGCTGTGTTCTTACAGTAAGGTGTGTTGATGTTACTTGTTTTCAGGAAGAATGACGTTTGGGTATCATGGGAAAAAGAAGGAAACCAACGTTTTACTTTTACACATTTTTTGAGTCAGCACCTGCTTCCGTTGAGAAAAACAAGACTTTGCGATTAGTTGTCGGGGATCGTTGCTATTGAATGCTTACAGTACAGCACTTGGCAATGTATAAAACACAGAAGATATGATTGTGGCCTATGCTCCGTATGCTGTAGCAAGATAAGATCCCTGACATACAATAATAACGTACTTTTGTGTGTTTGTTTTTAATAGCTTTTTTTTCTAAGCTCAACTGTATTAATTCTCTATCGTAGTTTATGTGCTTAAAAACTGCATTACAATCACATAAAATTTGACTTCTAAAATAGTCACAAAATGTGAAATCAAGTTGCTTTTAGGGTTTAAGTATGCTTTAGTCTGTCTCCTGGGAGCAGTAATTACTCATCCTTTAGTCACATGATGACATACTGAAACAAAGATTTTAAACTTTAGGTGAAGCTCAGATTAGCTTGTTGTTCCCTTATGAATGGTTTACAAGAGCACTCATAGGTGTTTGTGTCAACCTTGGCAACATTACAGGGCAATTAATAATAACCTAGTGATGTAAAACCAGGTAACTTTTAATGAGAATTTAAAAAGTTATTTCAGGTGTCTATACTGTCACTTGCGCTGGAAACACGATTTTGAAATAAACTAAGAAAGCAAAATCACGCACCCAAAAATCAAGAAGTAAGTGGAGTAAGGTAGCTTGGCAAATTAATTTGTTAGTACAATTGTTTCATCAGTGAGATGTTCATTTATTATTTTACTGTAATGTGCTTCATTTAGTACATTGAACATTTAATTTCTTATTAACCATCTGAGTGCTGAGTAACTGCAAATGATCTCAGCCTTTTCAGTTAGAAAAGGAGGGTGCACAAATCAATTGCCTATCTGAAAAGTTTGGTTCAGGTTGACTGGAGGAGTTTTGTAGAAGAAGCAGGGAGATTGCAAGGGTATGTGCCATCTGGTGAAGAACGGGCATGGTGAGATACTCTCTTAAGGTGAGACTCTTCTTGCTCATTAAACACCTTTTAAAAAATATTTTCTTGACATAGAAGAGATCACACAAATTCTCGCTGTTCATTTTTGGAGTAGAAACTTGAATGCACCTCCTAAGTAACTCTCCCGGTCACCAAGTTTAAATTTGGCCTTTGTTGTTCTTTCATCTTGGATTTATTTTACTTTGTTCAAGTAATAAATATTAAGTTGAAGTACATTGGGGAAGTGATTCAGGTTAAAAAATAACTTTCCTCCTGACAGGTTGTTTTAACTGGGATTAATTGCTTGATCTGGTTCACATCTCACCTACACAAACTCTGCTAACAGAGCTGGAAGAGCCAAGGAGGGAGAAGAAGCTGTGTGCACTAAATGGGGCACTGCATTGAAAGAAATTTACACAAAATGCGACTTAAGCATTTTTTAAATCTTAGTTTCAATTGGAAACTATAACTCAAACAATTTAAGTAGGTGCTACCATTCTTATTTTACTTGAACTGAATCAAAAGATTATTTATATTATTAGGTCCCTCACAGGTTAAGAAGTTGTCAACATAATAGTGATAGTTAAAGATGTTAGCCTCTTCCTCTAGTATAACTAAGGCTGAAAGAAAATACCTGTGTTGCTGTTTTCTTGTCTGTTCCTTGATTTTTCCATTTTTTCCCAAGTTACTTCTTACATTGCCTCAAGAAAATCTCAGTGAATGTCAATAACTTGCCAGTTGAAAAAAAAAAAAAAAATCATCATACTTCAGGTCAGTTTCTGTATGTTGTCTATGAGTCAGCACTACTTTATTTGAAAATCCCATATGCTCAGGCTTGAACCAGAAAAGGAAATTCCACTAGTTTAAGTAGTTTTTGAAATCACTTAACCAAGCATATATGTCTGTGTGAGCATTTGGTTTAATTGGTATTGCGTCAGTACCTTTTCTGTTGAAGTGTAGTTTGGATTTGGCTGTGACTGAATGGTAATTCAGTTCTGGTTTAGCTGGTAACAGTTCAACCTTTTTCCTGACCCTGAATCAGTTAGTTTAGGAAAAAACAGCATTTGAAAGTGAGAAGTGTCACATTATGGGGGCAGGCCAATAATGAGGAACTTTACAGCTGATTTTCTTTTTTCGTACTTAGAGCCAAGGCACAATGTGCAGTGTCACAGGCAGCTTCTTTGTAATCCCCACCGTCTGAGACTGAAGAGCTGAAAGGAAACTGGCGTGCTCCTCTGGGGGCGGTTTTGTGCCTGGGAATAAGAAATGAAAGCCAAAGGGCAGAAAACTGTACTCCTGTTACTCTCCTGGTTTGAGCTGTGCCTGCTTATGTACAGTCTGGAAATAAAAGCCTAAGTCTCTTCAGTGAGTTATGGTGAGAACTTTATTTGCTGGAGATAAACTCAGGGTCAGAGATCCTTGCAGGTACCTTGAGGATGTTTTTTGCTGTAGAAACAATTCTGCAGATCTCTCTGCATTGGGAAAACAAGGATTAAGGCATGGTCAGCACTTCATAGTAAAAGTATTTTACTTATTACTGCCTTTAGGAATGTATGGAAAGTCTCTTGAGATCTGCAAATTATAATAAAAACCCAAAGACTTATATTGTCCACGCTATTCTGAGACATGTGGTGATGGAACAATGAGAAAAGATTCGGTATGATGCTGTTTTTGCTGATAACTGAATGCAAACAGTTCCCACGCTGAATTAAGATCCATTCTTCTTTAATGAAAAAAGCAGAATTGGGAGCTTGTTTTGGTTTTAGGTTTGATTGCTTTGGTTAAGTTGCGGGTTTTGATTTAGCTGACACTGATGCTGCAGTGTTTCTTCCAGGATAGCTGTATTGGCTCAGCTCTCTTGGGATATATTAAGAATATGCCAGCCAAAGGAGTTCTCCTGCCACCTTCTGTGCATTATTAGCTAAACTGAAAAAAAAACCCTGGTCTTCTGTAAGCATAGTTGCACCTATATTAGGATTTTTATTGTCATAACTGCTTAAGGAGGGGAGTAGGCAGACATTATAATATTTTTCACACATTTAGGTGACATACCTTACCTGGCAATTCTTTGTATTGTCAAATCAATCTAAATTTCAGCCTAAATGGAGTGAGAGGCAGATTTGCTTGAATTGCAACAAGTCAAGTAACAATAACGGTCTTGGACACATTGGATTTGTTTAATTCAACCTAGGCATGTCAGAATATAACTAGTCCTAAATGCTGCCTACAAGTATAAAAAGGGAGGGGTGGAAAGGAAAAAAAGATCGCACTTCTTAGTGTCAAAGAAAACTGAAAACATGAAAAGTTGGGTTTTTTGTTTATTTAAACCAGCTTAACTGCATTTTGCCGAAATTTTATAACTTATGTCAACGGAAAAATTTCTCTGAGAGCCAACACTACAATTCTGCAGGCAGCACTGCTGAAAGAGCTGTGCCTACATAACTCTAGTGGCAGACACTTTCCATAGGATTGTTTAAATTATGTGTGGTGTTAGCCTGGTGCAACTATTCTAGATGAATAAAAGCTCAAGATGGACAAAGGCTCCTACATTTCTCTTCCCTCCTTCAGTTATATCTTCTTCCATCTATCTTTTCATATGTTTTTCATATTTATTTACAGTTTTATTAATCGTTATCTTGACACGTTACCAAGCTTTTGGTTAATTAGAAGTCAGCATATAGAACCATGTAGAAAGAAGTAAAAACAACTGCTTTTTTTCTGTGCAGTTATATATTTGGGGTAAAAAAAATTTTAAGCTTCAGGAACTGAAAAAAATGGTAGTGTTCACAGCTCATTAGGAAACATGTGTCTGGACCCACCTGAAAAAAGTGTGATGCTAATTATAGTAAGAAGGATTGCTACTTCCACAAATTGATGTAGACCAGTACAACATTTCTTGCACAGAAGTTCTTTCACTACACCTTTTCCATCTTTCTTTATATTTTCTTCCACACATGTAAATAGCATATGTTCTTGAAATGCAATTTAGCCTGGAAATATCATTTCAGATCAGTTCTTGAGCTTGCATCATGAGTAAGTTTTAATGGCATCATAGGTTTTTTGAGCGTATTTTTTCAAAATGCTTTGCTATGTTAAAAATTGGGTGGCTTCTTGACATCATTCCA